ATTTTTTTTTTATCGATTCTAAAATCATGATTTTGATACCATTCGACGCGCCGCAGCGAGACGATTCGAATGGTGGTAAAATCATCCTTTTATAATCACTGGATAGCGAGATATTACGTTTTGAAGTATTTTTTCTCAAAGCTTTAAATTTTGCATGACGTTGTGATGATATCCAGGTGATTTGTAAAAAAAAAAATTTATATTAAAAATCATCATCCCAATTAGTGTTCATTTATAAAACAAGGCTATTCCTAATAAAGTTAGGGAAGAAAATCTTTTTTTATTTGCAAAAAAAAGAAAAAAGACCAATCGGTCTTAAAAAGACTGCGGTCCTTAAAAAGACCGACGGTCTTATTATATGTGATACAGGACCAAAAGACCGCGGTCCTACACTAAGACGGACCGGTCCGTCTTTTTATGGTGTAGGACCGTAGGACCGCGGTCTTCTAGGACCGATGACCATCTTTAGATTAGGTAGTTGGACTGCACCATGGTGAATTAGTGTGTACAGTTAGGCCGCACATTTCAACAAAAGGTCATGGTGTCCTTCTAATGTTCCCTATGAGGTCATTGGAATGTTTGGAGTCCTATCTGTGAGGTCACTGCTTGCATACCTTGTGAGTAATTTCCTGTCCAGGTGGTCACTCAAATGATACCGCTTGGGGTCTAATGTGGCTAGATGGTTATTATAGATGGTAAAATCCTGGGTGCAATGACTTTGTGGTAGTTTACTTTCTAATAGGTTTAGGCCAACTAGGATATTCCTAAACAGACAAGTGTACTAGGTGAGGTATGGGGTTCAACTCCCCACTAGGCAGGTACCGGGTGGCAGCTTGGGTAGTAGGGCACCACTGGGAATAATCCCAAACAAGCGAGTCTGTACTATCTCATGTTCTCTCTGTCTTAGTGGTCACTACTATACCATTGGGGGATTCACAACTGTACCTTGGGACTAAGGAATCGTGGGCTGTAGTGGCCTTAAGTGAGCTTTAGTTCAGTTCTGAAGTGTGAATGTTGGTATAGAAGGGTTTCTAGATGATTGCCATTACATCTGACACTGAAAGTCCTCCATTACTAAGACAGGCCAGGGTGGCATAATATAAATTCGAGCTTGTCTTGCCTCTAGAATGGATAAAGGATGAGTAGGGGTTATAGCTAGCCAGTTAGTATTCCGTCGATGGATAGGGACTATCCTGAGGTCAAACTAAAATGGCAGTTGTAGTGATAATAAGATTTGCCTACTAACACCAGTTGCTTGGATGGTAGTCGTTGGTAAACGTTGGACTACTATGCTATAAATAGGTTCTTAAATGTGAACCTTTATCTTGAGTCAAATAACAAGACAAATCAGCACATATGATTTAACAGTAATAGAAGTATTATATGTATACCTATAGCGCTACTCTCTTGTAACTGTTTAAAAACTAACTCAAGTTTATCAGTAAACTCTATTTCTACAAAGCAGTCTACAGCTTTTTGGGTTTATTTCAAGCCTATTTTTTTTTTTTTTACTGCAGCATATTTGTTAGTTTATTAAAATAATATTTATGTCAATACATATATAAGTAATACAACATAAATTTAAACTAATATCAATAACTAATAAACCACTCGTCATCCTACAAGAGGACCCTACGTGTGCACTGTCAGGTCATAGGTGAATTTGAAACTATGAGAGTAAGTCCAATGTGAAATTGTTCTTTTTTAGAGGGAATGTTCCTTCTCTCAGTTTCAATTCTAGAAAAATTCAACAAGACCTACTGTAAAACAACAAGAAAAAAAAAGAGATTTTAAACAAAAAATTTTAGGGTAAAAAAAAGGATTAATAATATTTAGACTAGATGGCGAGTACTCCAACATCCCAAAACTCCTATTTGGCTCAGTCCTCCTATCAGTTGGCCAGTGATCTAAGCAACACCCTAATTCAGCTAAAATTAAAAGTTTGTCATTGCTGTTAAAGCCTTTCTTTCAAGCCTATTTGAGCATTGTTGTCATTGTTATTAGCCATATTTTATGAAAAAATAAAAAAATTTTTCTTCAAAAAAAATGGACCAAGTGATTGTCAGAAAGAGTTGCCCATTTAAAGATTTTTGGAATTCTATGTAATCTTAAAAAAAAAAAAAAAAAAGGTATAATTATATTTTTATATAATATTATAAAAGAAATATTTTCTTATAAAACTAATCAGAACTAAACAATAATATAATTAAAAAAAAAAGTAAGTAATTTAAGTCAAATTTAAACTAATTTGCTAAATCAAAATATGACTTACATTTCACATCATTAATTTTTTAAAATTATATACTGGATCTGATTTTTTTGAAATTATATTTTTCAAAATAATATTTTATTAAAATTAAATTTATACATCGTACTATGCAGGTCAAAAAGACAAGGTGATACAATCCAAAAAAGGTAACTATTGCGATGCATAATAAAGAAATTTAATAAATAACATAAAAATGCAATCAAAAAAGTTATTATATATTATAAAAGCCTTTCAAAAATTAAAAATTGCAAAAAAAATTTGTATTTTTACTACAAATGTATCAATAGGAAATTAAAGAATAGATTAGGTGGCCAAAACTCTAACCATTTAAGGAATAATCTGTTTGTAATTACACTATTTCTGTACCGTCTTAGATTTTTTTTACTGTGCAGGAATATATCTGCAGGCTTAAAGAAAAAGTCTTGTGTTTATTAAAAGAATTTTCATGAAAATAAATATTGGTAGACATTAAATTAATTCAACTTTCTGTAACTTATTAAGCCGGAAAGCACAATTTTACATTATATCCTCCTTAATGCTTGTACGTTTGTTCAAACGGTTCCTCTTACTGCTATTGTTGGCACACTGCCCTTTTATCGCTCGTTGGAGTAATTTCGTTGTCGACGCCACTATTGTTGTTGTGGTAAGAGGTGTTCTCTAAGAAATTTACAGAAAATCAAATTATAAAATGTACAGGAAATATTTTTGGGCGACCGATGTTTTAGAAAATAACAGACAACTCTCATGCAAAGCAATTTAGAGTTATATGTAGCGTGCTTTTGTACATTTGAAACTTTCTTTTATACAATTTTTTTTCGTTTGTTAAATTTTTTAAATGCGGAAGCTTATATAAATTTTTATAAATATTTTAGTTTATCTTCTCATTCTTAATTCTTTATTTTACAATCATCTAATCGATTTCATTTTATCTTCGATAGGCAACTAATGTAACGTATCAAGATCGAATCGCTGCGTTTGGGCCACGGCTTACTGATGAAGGTCTTCTCGGATACCTTGTTTCAGTAGAGATGATTGAAGCTAATAATCAGAAGGGCTGTAGCAAGCTGAAAAGAAAAGCCCCTACTGAACAATGGATTGCACTTGTAGAACGCGGACAATGCACTTTCATTGAAAAGGTTCGAAACATGCAGGCATCAGGAGCTATTGCAGTAGTTGTAGGAGACAACGAGAAAAACGGGTTGATAACCATGTATGCCACTGGTGAGTTATTATGTATTTATCTTTTTGTCATCATAATTACTGGTGATTTTTTTACTTGGTCTTTTTTTTCGTTTTTCCTATAACCATTCTTTTTATTTAGGGGATACTTCTGATGTGAATATTCCTTCTGTGTTTATTGCGCAGACTGAATATAAAGATTTAAGATCTTCATCCTTAAAACCAGTAGAAGTACACCTAGTAAAAGATAACCTTTTACAGTGGTAATGCCGTATCTATATTACGCAATTAATATAATTCAACTAATAACAATTCATTAAATATTGTTTTTTTTTCTGTTGTAAAATAATTTAGGCCTTTACTTGATGTAATTATTGTTGTAATTCTTTCACCAACAGTAATGATGATCTTTATTTATGTTTTATGGCGTATCCGCCAACGTCAAAGGCGTAAACAAGATATAGCACCTCAGCAAGTTGTTGGAAACTTGGCAACGAAAATATTTTTTGAATCAAAGAGACAAGAAAATGAACCACAAGAATGTGCTATTTGTTTGGAAGACTATGCTGATGGGGATGAGTTAAGAATTCTACCATGCAAACACGAATTCCATATCACGTGTATTGACAGTTGGTTGACAACAAGAAAGAAATTCGTACGTATAATTTTTTTAATAAATGCGATGGAAAATTTTTTTATTAATGCTTTTTATTATAGTGCCCCATCTGTAAACGTGACATTTGTTCACCAACCGAGGAAACTCCTTTGTTATCAAATCATGAACCAACACCATGATAATTATATTTTAATATGGTTTATATTAATATTTTAACAATAATTTTTGCGTAGATTGAAATTATAAGCCTCGGAGATTAATCATCATTCCGTAAGATGATCAAAGTTTGTAAATTATTAGGGTTTGGCTTTTACTGATACTTTTGATAACTTTCAATTCAGCAAATATTGTGTATTATACAAATGTATTTTTTAAATTCTGAAGCTAACCTATTCTTTCAGCAACCTTTTTTTTTTATTTGGTTTATAAATTTATATACAGTGTATTTATTTATAAAAAAAAAATTCTGTTTATAGTAAGTAGAAAGAAATTTATAGATCTGAATCCAATAAAAATTTTTTTTTATCAAGCAAGTTTAGAGGGATTTATATAAAATTATTAAAAAAGTTTGTAATTCAAATAAATTATTAAATTTTCCATTCATATTAAAATAATTTCCTGATATAGATTTAATGATTTATTAAAGTAATACTTAAAATTTAAAATTTTATAAATTATAAAAATTTTAAATAATCATTAATATAATAATTATAAATTTCTTATACTAAATATATAATTACAAAACAAAAAAGAGTATTGCTAAATAGTGATTATTATCTTATTAGAATTAAAGTATAATTTTAAGTAAAATTAAAAATGTTATAAAGCTCTGCCCATTAATATTTGATGAAAATCACCTGTGATAAGATTTAACAACCCAATAAAAAAAAAAATTTTTTTTTTTATAATTGCTATACATTATTAAATAAAGTAAAATATATAATTGTAAATACAAAAGTTACTAAACTAAACTATCTAGAACAAAATAAACTACTTATTATTTTATTAAGGTAATGCAATATAAGAAAACTCATATATGTATAGTTAGACAGTTATAAAGCTATGCAGGTATAACAAATATACCAAAAAATGTTTTTTAATTTGAATTATAATTTTTTATTATTATTACTAGAAGTACCTGTTGACTACGTCAACATTCTATACTTTACTTAATATAAATAATAATTGTAGTATATTCTTGGGTATAAGCATACTACAGGATCTATAATTGATCTTTTAACTGTATTAAAAATATTAGAATTGCTATTTTCATCAGGAATTTTTGCAGATATAATAGTATTATAATCATCAATAGTTTTAGGTTTATATTCTTGAGCAAGAATAAAAAGAAGATAAGCATGAGGTAAATCATGCTTCTAGAATTCTATTGTGTATAAATAAACTATGACTTTTTCAAAAATGTCTTTTTTCAAAATATCATTCAATATTGATTCCAGTTTCATATTAAAGATATGACTTATTAAATCAGAATAATCTTTGCATATTTTGATTTGAAAGAAGAGCTTCACCATTTTGGATTATATATTATAGTGATAAATAAATCAGGTTTACCAAATACTTGTAAAATAGCTATTCTATTTTGATATATTTGTTAAGGTTCACCAATAAAACTTGAAGGTATGGTAGTATAATCCACTGCCTTACATTTGACACATCATTACCTGAAATCATAGCATTCTGAAAGCCATTATATAATTCTGCACATATCTTCTTTTGATTAAATTTTATATAATTTAATTGCATTTGTTTAACTACTGTATACATATCAACAATCTATTATTGAAATAGTCATCTATAGGAATATAAAGTCAATGCTTCTTCAGGTCATCCAACTTGAAAATAATATGAAAAATAATCATTGCAGTTACATTTTTTTTATCTGATGTGTTTAGTAATTCATTTTCATCACTAAATTTAGATACATCTTTATTATTATAAGTATAAGTAGATTCATTATTACATTTAGGAATGTTTGGATACCACATATCTTCTCCTCTTGGAAACATAAGAACATAATGAAGTACTGCATAAGCATAATAAATCTTTGAAATTTGTTACATTTCTTTTTCACATGATGGTAATACAGTCAACTCCCTCTATAGTCACTCCCGTTATAGTCACATTCTACTATATAGTCACACCAGTTGAATGTTCAAAACACTTTATTATTAAAATCTATCCTATATAGTCACAATCTATCTATAGTCACTATCACACCTATCCTCAAAAATCTTATATTAAAAAGAACCGTTTATAATCACAGTTATATAAAGAATATATTAAATAACTTGGCATCTAATAATCGTACAAAGATGTATCATAGCTTGTTAGAATCGTCTCACTGAGACGAATCGAATGGTGGTAGTTTTATCCTTTTCCGATCACTGGCTGATGAGTTATTCAACAAAATGTTAAACATCGGCATTATTATATTTCTTGATTTACGTTTACTGCGCCATTTAACATTTTGCTAGATTTCTCGGTACCTAGTGATTGTAAAAAGACGATTTATAGCTCGTTGGAATCGCCTCATCGAGACGAATCGAATGGTGGTAAGCTCATCTCTCTGTGATCAATATTAACGGAGTTATTACTTAAAAACAATTTAATATTTTTTAATTTCGGAAATTGATCTAGTGATTGGATTTTGATGTATCTTATACCATTAGATTCGTCTCATCAAGACGAATCGAATGGTAGTAAGATCGTCTTTCTAGGATCAATATTGGCAGAGTTATTACACAAAAACCATTAATATTTTTTTAATTTCGGAAATTAATCTAGTGATTGGATTTCGACGTATTTTATACCATTAAAACCGTCTCATCAAGACGAATCGAATGGCGGTAAGATCATCCCTCTACAATTAATATTGGCGAAATTATGATACAATAAAGTTTTAAGTATAATTCTGGCTAAAATTATGTTAATTTTTGGCCGGAATTATGATATACAAATATAAGAAATTTTTTATATAGTTACATCTCTTTATAATCACCAAATATGG